ATATTCAAGAAAAATGTAACTTATGTCTGCACAAAAACTTGTATAGGAAGGTTCATAGCAGCATTATTCATAATAGTCAAAAAGTGGAAATGACCCTCAAAATCCATCAATTGATGAATGATATAAAAATATGGTATTTTTAATGGAATATTATTTTGCAACATAAAAGAATGAAGTACTGATTTGTACTACCTGAAAAAATTAAATTGAATAAAGGAAGTTGAGCACAAAAGACTATGTTTGTTTTTTATCTACCTGAAATTTACCAAACAGGTAAATCTATAGAGATGAAAAGCAGATGAATAGTTGCCTAGAACAGGAGTTGGAATGAAATGGGGAGTGACTGCTCATAAACAGGCTTCCAGTTTCTAATGGTTTCAAGTTGATTGTGGTAGAAGTTGCACAAATCTGTAAATATACTAAAAATGCTGAATTGTATACTTGAAATGGGTAAATTGTATGATAAGTAAATTACATATCAGTATAGATATTTCACATAAATGCATACATGTAAACATATGTATGTAGATATATGTGCATATATAAATACATACAGTGACATCTTTGTGCAAATGTATCATTCACCTAGACTAAAATTTGAATAAAATCTAACTCATAAGCTTCCCACATTGCCATTATTCTTCTAGACTCCTAAGCAGTAAACCAAGAAACTTTTTTCTCCCCCTTTTTAATTCTTTGTAATTATTTTTGAAATCTATCAGTAAAAAGTGCTTATTTCTTTGGTAATTAGTTTGTAGGAAATTAAAGGTAAAATGACAGGTGAACAGTAGCACCAGGAAATTTTAGTGGCACCTAAAATGCATATCCTATAAATTCAATCTTTAAAATTTAAATTCTGCAACACAAAATAATTAAGAACAAGAGTATATAGATGAATTTTAAACTGGGGATATATTTCTTACAAGAAACAAAGATCACAGAATATAACTAAAGTGTTATTTTCAGTATATCTAACTCTAAAGAGGTAGGAAAGTCAGAGTCAATAACTAATAATTACAACAATAACAATCAAAAAAGTTTAATGACAGATATCAAGCAAGTTCATAAATTTCATTCAAAATGGGGAAAACAGAATACTTAAACAATGAAATATCCTTACAATCAAAATATAGAAAACTTCAAAAAACAGTTATTTTTCCTATTTACTGAAAGGCAATTCAAACAAAAGGCAATTCATTTAAAATATATGAAGACAAACTATATTAAATGTTTATTCTGAAAATTATAGAAGTAATGTAGTTCTAATAACATCTCAATATGACTGTTTTGCTTTAAAATTTAGAAAAGAATGCAATAAAATTCAGAAGGAAAAATAAGCAGATATGTATCTTTTTAATTTGAAAAAGTAAGGGCAAAAATAAATACAGCACATCACATATTTAGATACATAAAGCTGCAGTTACAAGGACCAGGCAAGACTAGTAGAAGACAATCATGGTGGAAAATGTGCCCAAATTTTAAAAATATGTGTTTGTGATGCTTTTTACCTCCCTATGCTCTTTTTGAACTGATTATATTTTTTATTGTTAAAGATTATTCACCATAAAGTTTAAGAGAAATGTTTATGGAAGTTATTTATGGTTTTAACTGGAGTTTATTATTACTATTATTTTGCAGTTATTCATAATGTTCTTTCTTTATTTGCTGTCTGTGTGCTGCTAGGTGGGGCTGTGTACCCACCCAGTTGGTTGCTTGTCTGATGCCTTCCAGTACTGATGCCTACAGGTTGGTGGGCGGGACCAGGTTTCAGTACTAATAGGCTGGAGGGAAGGTTCCAAAATGGCACTTACCAACACCAGTGTCCACATAGTAGAACAAGCTCCTAAAAATGGCTGCCACCAATGTCTGTGTCTCCAAGGTGAGCTTCAGGTGCCTCCAGCCACTTCTGCAGGCTTTCCAAGGTCAACTGATGGGTCTGACCCACGCTCCTTTCAAATTACTCCTTCTGCCCTGGGTCCTGGAACATGTGAGATCTTGTATGCCCATTAGAAGTGGAGTCTCTATTTCCCACAGCCCTCTTGCTCTCTCTACAGTAAGCCCCTTTTGGCCTTCAAAGTCAAACATGCTGGAGGTGTGTCTTCCCGGTACAGGTTGGGGAGCCTGAATGGGGGCTCAGGCCCCTCACTCCCTGGGGAGAACCTCTGCAGTTGTAATTATCCTCCCCCGTGTGGGTCATCCCCCAGGGGTACGGGTCTTGACTATAGACCAGAACTCCACCCCTTCTACTGGTCTCGTTGTGGTTCCTTTTTTATATTTTGAGTTGTGGAAGATTTTTCCTGCTGGGTCCCGGTCTTGGCTGTCAATAGTTTGCTCTGTAAGTAGTTGTAATTTTGGTATGCCCATGGGAGGAACTGAGTTTAGGGTCTTCCCACTCCACCATCTTGGCCAAACTCCTTTTTCAGTCATTCTTAAAGGGGAGAAGGTGGAACTTTGAGAGACACTGAATATTTTTTCAAACTATGCAGACCTTTCCCCATATTCCCATATGCCCAACCTGATAAAGAGCAGTTACTGCTCTGAGAATTATTGCCTCATATTTATCTATTTGTTAGTTAGCCTTAGTTAGAAATAGTGCCTATTAAAGTAGGTTTTATTACCCTTTATGCGTTTCTGTGGAGATAAATGTGTGCATACCACTGATCTAAAGTAAAACAGAAATCTTTAAGGATTGGATTGATGTAATCAATCAACAACATTCTCCATAATTCCTAGTTTTTATTCTGTAGGTCAGAAATTTCAGTCACCAAATTGAAATCCATTACTGCATTTCTCACCTTTCTCTAAGACTTAGAATCCAAGTCAGTTTCTACCACCGTGACTTTCCCTGCCATACCTCTTCCTGCAGTTTGGTGGATTTCTCCTTGGAGAGAGAATGGAAATGATGGCACACCAAGTTCAGGACGTGACTACCAATCCTCCCCACCCCATTCCACTGGCTCTTTGATATCCCCATTCCCCTCAAGGGACTGCACACTGGTCCTGTGCTGCCTACAGTATCTGTGTTGAACACTCTTGAAGTTACGTGCTTATCCTGAGAAAAGAAACACGTGTGGCATTTTAAAGGGACTGTTTACTTCATTCTGAATGTCGGGGTGACAATTCTAAAAGCAGTTGCTTGTCAGAGTTTAATCACTAAATCTATACACATTATTTCCAAGTTTAGTGTACCTTCTTTGAGACAAATATTATGACAGATGAAAGCACTTCAAATTTGGAGTCAAATGCTAGCCTTGCTATGTACTAGCTGCATGTTAGTTACATAAGCTCTGCTTGTTTCTTTGATTTTAAAATATGTAGACTAGCATAGTACCTGCCTTTAAATTATTATAGTGATATTGGCTGCATAAAAGGAGATGATGTATGTTTGAATGCATAGTGGTTATTATATGGTGAAAGCCATGTTCCTTGATTAGACATGAAATCAATATTGTTTTATATGCTGAGGTTCTTTTCAACCAGTATAGAGTGAAAGATTCTTATTTTCATTTTACATGATTGATAAAGTTTCAAACCAATTCATTTGCAATGCGGTGACACTGGACCTTAAAAATAAAAACGCATTTGCAACCAAGTTTGCAACATAGGTAAACATCAAATGTTTTTGCAATTAAGATAATCTGAAGTTTTTAATAAGCTATATTACACATGGACTGCTAACAATGCATAGTCACCGTCTTACTTCTTTCATAATGGTGCTTTTAGTATTCCACTGAAACATGGCCAGTGAATGCACAATATTCTTAGTTACCATTATGAGGGGCTCTGTATATTACAGCCTCTCCACTGTATCTGCTGTTAGCTAGAAAAATGCTAGGAGCAACAGCAGCTACTATCAACAGGGAGCCATATTAATTATTTGAAATGTGCCTCATAAGAGGAATCAGCAGAGTTTATTACAAGTCGAATATTACTTGAAACGGGAAGGTTACTCTAACTGTTATCATAATCTATGTGTCATTAACTTTCCTTGTTTAGGAAAAGAGATTAACACCCCTGTAAATTGCTATAGTAAATATATAAAGTATAACTGCATATTCCCATTGTAGAAAGAAGGTAGTGGGTTTTCTACTTGTACCCAAACCTTTTTATATAAAGTAGGTTTAGAAATTGAACTCTAGTTATGCTTTCTTGCCTCAAAATCCTAATTGCTTGCTGGATCATAGGTATACAAACTATATAGCTACTTTGAGCATTAGAAAATCTGTTTTTAAGCTGGCTTTTTTTTTTCAGTCAGCATTTTGGCCTTCAAATCAACTTTAACACTTTTTTAACTCATAAGACAGAAAGTGTATTATTGCAGATATGTATGTGAGCTGGCAAAGTGCTTTGCAAAAAACAGAGAATGAATCCATCTACCTGTGTTTTACATTGTGGTTAGTTACTATTTTTTCATCAAATATAATCAGCAATAGGAGTAGTTTTCTTTTCAAATACAAGTAAAAAATACTTAAAAAGCAAACTAAATCATAAAAATAAAGTGTAAATTCACTAGGATCGTAAAGTTGTCTAAATAAGTGCTATTCATAGTGTAATCTGACGTAGAGGACAGTCTGCAGATTCTTTATTACTGATCTGCTGTGAAGTAAAGGCAGAAAGGAAGAATGTTTACAAACACTTAAAGTAAATTGATTGAGTACTTAATTGCTGTTTAATCTGACAATGAAACCAAGGTTTTGTATTTGGCATGTCTTTGTTTTTAATTTTTCCACGTCATTTTTCTTGTCAGTCATTTTTATTGTATTTCTTAAAGTTTCACTCTACAATAAATTTGAGATTTAACAACAGCAACAACAAAACTAGATGGTTTGAGGACTGATTTAATTGGTTGATGTTTAGATGGCACACAATGATTCTATGTTTGGATAGATCTGCCTGCACTCTGTAATGGCTATTAATTCAGCGTGGAGAGAGATGATGTGACATCATAAAAAAAAGTAAAAGACATAATGTCTTCTTAACATTTATTTTTGGGTCCACAGGGCAGGCACATCATGGACAGGTATCGTACATCTCTCCACCAATTCACCTTGACTCTGAGCTAGAGAGACCCCCTGTTAGAGGTGAGTTGCTGTTTTCTTTTTTTATTTAAAGGAAAAGAAACTCTATTCATTCCTTGATGAAGGCCTTGATAAATGTGTATTTTACAGTGCACTGCCTGTTTACAAAACAGGAGGAAAATGGTATGTCAGGAATATGATAACAGAAAGAGTAAGTCTTCTTTATAGACTAAGATGGGAAATGTTGTTCTGAGAAATGTTGGTAAACCAACAGAAGAAATAGGAATCCACGGTGGAAGACTAGTTGAAAATCAGCCTAGATTTAGAGATGACCAGATAATCATTCCTTTTTTTATTGGAACTGTCTTCTACTACTATCCTTTTATTTTATTTTTTAAAACAAATTGAAATATCTTAATCTGAGTCACACTGACAATTTCCTTGCAGAGTGATATTTTATGTTATACTGTTATTCTATTTAAAAGTCATTTTAGTATTGATATGATAATTTAGCTTTAAAATATATAGATTAAAGTTATATATTTAAATTGATGCCATCTGTGTAAAGATTTTTAAAAATAGCCAGTCATACAAAATAGGAGTTAAAAGTAACATTTATTATCTCATAATCTAAATATAGAATGTATCTTTCTGCTTTAAAAAATAATTAGTGATTTTTTAAATGTTTTGTAATGTTCAGAGTGATGTAAAGTAGACACGACTTTTGATTTTATAAATACCAAATATCCAAATTTAAATTTAATTAAATTTAGTTAATTTTTTGGTTTAAAGTAATACAGTATATTTTCTTTAAAAGCTTTTATATCTGACTTCCATGAGCATGTTTTCTGTACGTGCTATTTCCTCTTCTAGGAGTCTCTTACCTTTTCTACCCAATAAGTTTCTACCAGTGTTTCAATGCTCTGCTTATCTTCAGTTCCTCCGTTAAGCCTTCCTACACTGTGTGCTAGACAGGAGCTAAGTGCACGCTTCTGTCCTCCAAATATCTCCGGTGCTTGCCTCAGTGATTACACCTAAAACATTGCATTTTATTTTTTAGTGTGCTTGTTTCCTTTTCTCTTCTGTAATGTCCTTGAGGGCAAAGAGGACTATAATTATTATTTCTCCTCCAGCCACTGGTCTGTGCTTGGCCCATAATAGGAACTCACAATGATTTCTGTCTAAGTGACTGAAAGTGAAGGTGACAGCCTAGATTCTGAAGGATGCATCCTCATTTTTCAAGAAGAAAACAGCAGGGACAATTAGAGAATCTCACGAAGAGGAAGCAGAAAAAACTATGGTTATATGAAGGTTGTGGTATTTTTCAGGGAATGTGCTGGGTGCACAGTAAAATGGGCGTAGTTCTAGAGGAAGAGACTGGAAAGATGTAATGAGGCAGACTGTGGAAGATTCTGTATCACATGCCAAGGAGTTTGTATTTTATCCTCAGAAAAAATCATGAAATATTTTTAATTTTTAAAAAAATTTTCCCAAGTTAGTAGAATGTTACATCATAACATTATCAGTTCTTGATATGAGAAAAATACCTCTGAAGTCAGTGTAGATGATGAGAGATTGGCAGAGGGAAGCTGTTTCAGTAATCCAGGTAAAAGAAGAGTGGGAAATTAGTTAGAACTGTGTTGGCGGCAATGTCAGGGCCTGAGAAATATTTTGAAGAGATGTGGCATTGACTGAACAGATACAGGGGAAAGAGCAGAAATGCTTCTAAGATTTCTATATTGATTAACTGCTTGGATGCTTATGACATAATTCCTCATCATGAGGAATAGATGAATTTTAAATGGATGCCTTGTTTTAGACATGTTAATGCTTAGTAGAATGTTGTTCCTGTCAAAGGTTTATGCAAATTGATGGCTTTAATTTAATTCTTCACGTGATCCCAGTATGATTTGAAAAGAGTACTGTACAATCATGGATAGGATAGTGTAGTAATCTACTCTAAAAGTCAGTGGCTTAAAACAAGAAACATTTTTATAGTTCTCAGAATTCATTGAATTATATCTGTGGTGACTTGACTGAGGTTGGATGTTTAGTAGTTAAGCAGGCTGATGGATTTTTCAGGGGAGAAAACTCACTTACATGTTTGGTTGGTAGTCACCTTGATGTCATCTGGGGTGATGGCCATATGGCTGTCACCTTCCAGCCCACTAGCCCCTGCTCATTCCCATTGTGACAGGATTCCTACCAGTAAATAGGAACATCCCAAAGTTCAAATATTGTTCAAGATTCTGCCTGTGTCTTGTTTGCTGTGTCCCATTAGCCAAAGCCAATCACATAGCCAACTCCAGACTTAAGAAATAGACTCCATCTCTTGATGGAGGAACCACAATCCAGAGGACCATGGATACAGGAAGGAGAGGAATTTGGGCCATTTCAACCAACCATAACTAGGCAGACAAAGAGTAAAGTAAATTTAGAATGAAATAAGACAAACACTGAGTGGTAAAATGAAGGGCTTTAGAGCCGATAAACTTAAACTGGGGAGTTCTAGACCTTTCTTATCTTTAGTTTCCTTAACTACTACACAGAAGATCAGAAATAAGAACTCCACAGTGTCTTTGTGAGGATTAGGGGTAATATAGAGTCTGGCATCTGGTAGGCCCTAGATAAAATGTGGCTGTTACTATGTACTTGCGGGTTTGCTGCTGTGGCATATGGGAAGGAAGACCTGCCAGGCAGTCAGGCAGCCCTGCATGACCTGAAGCAGCTTCTGTCTGTCACCTGTAAAACAAGGATAATGTCACCCTGGCATGTTTATAGGGATGATTAAGTGAAATAGTTAGTGTCAGGTTCCTGGCAAATACCTAACATAAAACTAGACCCTAAAGAGTTAGTAGGTAGGTAGGCATTATCAAGAGCTTCGCTTTAAAATACCATCTTAGTAAAAGTAGTCATGGTATTGACCTGTGAAAAATGAGTCACTAGAATCCAACAATGATCCCTGCTTGATATTTGCCTCCAATTGTGCTCTCTATGTTAGAATGATTGTCTTGTTAACTTGTAGTTCTCACATTGTTCCTCTACATGCACTGACCCAAAGACCCTTCTAAACTGGTCTGTGATTAATACAATTGCAGTTATAGTTATTAGCTCATTATATAGTTATATATTTTAGTAACCTTACAGAATAGCAGCAAGCTACCAAATAACTTTGAATAAAATGTTGAAATCTATATTTCAAAGTAGCTGAAGTATGTAAATTCAGTGACACTTACTGATGTGTAAATTTGTAAGATTCTGTTCTTTAAATCTAATGTGATCATACATGACATTTGGTCACATAATTTATGCTTCTGATAACTTTATATACATTCTTCAATTTACAGATTTTGCTACTGAATAAGGGTGTAAATTTCAATAGTTTACTAGTGCATTAATGTCACAATACGTTACAAGGTAATTAACCAGAGCTGCCACTATAAATAGAAAAATAGTCACAGCCCTCACTATAAACTACTTAATAAAAATAAGACCCTGAATCAGCATTCACCATTATAGTAATTTTTCTTGCCATACGTCTCATTAATCAGGACTTAAAAAAATTAGCTTCATCTAGAAGCACTATTATTTTTAAACCTTTCATTATTAAAAGAAGTTTGTTACAATTTTGTACTTAATTTAATGGGATTGATTATATATTTCTGTATGCAAATAAATTCTACATGCTTTTCGACATATTTCCTAATTCTGTATATTATAATTAGAAATGAAAGCCTACTTTGGTAATTTTGTAGTAGATTTGTAAATAAGCACCACAGATTTCTTAGCAGGGCTCATTAGGAGTTGCAGTTCTGAAGGACACGTGTCCTCACCAAGGATCCTTTCTCCCCAACTTATATTTTGCTTCCTAATTTCTCACAAAATACCCTACCCAGGAATCATGTCTGTATTACAGGCAGAATGACTCAATGAAGGTGTTTGGGTGGGATTTGTTTTGGAAGCTGAATCGGAACCCTAAGCAGAGGTGAATATTTAAATGCAGATATATCAGTCAAGGGCATATCTTCAGTTGAAACTCTGTTTTGTCTTGGTTTTGTTTCATTTCATTGTTTTTCTATACACTTTGTTGACAGCCTCAGCAGCCAGTGATAGAGCACTACCTGTGAATTCTTCCCATCACTAGGAATTTAGATAAGTTCCTGTCAGTAACCAAGGAAAGACATTAACTTCTGAAAAATGTCCTCCATTTATATTGCTAAGGATGATATTTTGAATATTCTGCTAAATAAAAATTTGACAGTTATCAGATACACTTCACCTTCCAATATGGAAAATCACTCATAATAAAGCTGATGAAAACTATAGTGTATTTATTTTGTACGTATTTTGTATAATCTTCTTTTAGGTAAGGTCTTATATTTGATCAGAAATCTAATACTAAACACTAATTTGTACATTTGCTAATTGTTGACAGTTACAGTTTCTACTCCAAGAAAAAGCTAAAATATTTGGGCACATTTGAAAAACTGCATCTATTTTTTAAGCTGTTTTTCCTATAATAAAACGAGTAATATAAACATGATTCCAATGGCAGATAATCAGTGAACTAGAATAATGCCAGGCGTTATTCTGTGTGCAAACTGAATTATATTCAGCAATCTACACACCAAAAATATTTTTTTAAGATCAAAATAAACATGATCCTGCCTGGGGCATCTGTATTAAAAATAGGCTATAGCCAAAGATTTAGCATCACAAATTTTAGACATTGACACACAATATTATTTAGTGAAATATAAAAACATTTTAAATTGATTAAAATGAAATAGGAGCAAGATGCCTGGCATTCTTATTGAGGAGTCTCCAAGCTTATTGTTTAATATGCTATGGTGGTGTTTTTCTAACTTACCTAGTTAGTTAGCAGATATCATGTGGTGGAACATAATTCTGTATCTTTATCCACTCTTAACCCGTGGTGACAAAAATTAAACTTGCATATAACAGAGTGCTTTGACCATGTTAAACACCCTTTTCCTACACTTGCAAGTGCCAAACATTGTTTTGCTCTGTTTAAAATACTCTGAACACCTACAAGATAGAAG